CGAACCTCGGTGCTGCTTCTCCTCTGCTTTGTTTCCGTTTGGGTGGTGGCCTTGACATTACCGCCGAGTCCGTATCCGTCTCATCCGTAGCCTTACCTTTCTTGGCCATATTTGGCCTCTTATCCACCACCATACCATTTTTCTTGGCTCTCTTAGATGGTGGAGCATCATCGCTATCCCCCGTTATCCCTCGCTTCCGAGCTTCACCTTGTCTTCCGGGGGTCAACATCTGAACCCTCGCTCGCGCTACCCGTGACAAGCTCCGGTGCATCCCAGACACGTTTGAAGTTTGGTGGTCTGAATGATGCCTCGTAATCGATGTGATCAACCTTGAACTTCACCTTGTAGCGCTCCAAGTGTTCGCTTGTCCATCGTTTTCGCCTCTTCAAGGAGGCTGGATCAATTGAGAGGAATGTCGCACTTATTGCTTTAGTTCCATCAATAGTGCAATGTACCTCGGTTGGTACCCCCGGAGCGATGATGGTGCTTGGCGAATTGCGCAGGTGTAAACCAAAATAGTGGCTTGCTGGATCTTTTCAGTTGACATATTTGTTCACTTTTACCACAAGCCGGATTGTGTAGTTATCAAAGATATATTCTGGTACGGGAAGAGAGTCGTTAGAGTCTCTCCCGATCTGGCTGTCTAAGTATAATGGAACCAAAACTAAGTAACCGGGTGAGACGCCGGGTCAACAGGTACCCAAGCCATTTCGTTCAGAATTGGCTTTTCCTGCAAGCCGATTTTCCCAGGACACGCCGAAATATATATCAGGTGTCCAGTATCTGAATACAAGCCAATTTAGCAACTCCAAGCCAAGTTAACAAATGCAAGCCAGTTCATTCACGATCGAGGCCACTCAGTACTGCTTACGTTCTCAGGGGCGGGCCTCATGCACAGTAATACTACTCATGCTTGGTCTCCGAGGACTGAAAATGGTGTTCCAAGCGAATTAGTTGAGGATGAATGACTTCATGCTATCAATTGAATTGGCTTGGGGTACGCCAATTTGTGTGTATGCCCAAACCGTTCTGCTCATGCACAAAAAAAGAAACTAGTTATACACAGTGCATTAACAATACGGCTTCCGTCACAGTGATACATTCGACGCTCTCTGGATCTATTCAAAGCTCCGTGTATCAGATGTGACAATGCCCGTTCAGGTATGTAGTACATAGCATCTTCATAGCCTAGTGAATCCGACACGGGGACATTCTTAAATCAGAAAGCAGGCTGGTGCATGCGATTTAGAGATACAAAAGAGTCGGGGAGATGGAAGACGACATATGACCATGTCCGCACGGCTTTCTTGGGACTGAGTTTGAACTTCTCCAATGACAATAGCCCACGTTAGAATTGACCTCAATTTTCAGCTCGTTTCAGTGTGTAGTGAAATCTGGATGTCGAGGAACCCACATATCAACCCCCGAAATCAGATTCTTTTAATTATCAGCTGCGAAATGCAGCCACATTACTTATTCCCATAGGTTTTTTTTTTTCGGCGTGGGCGTGCTCCTAGGCGGGGCAAGCCAATTTGCGCATGCCCATAGAAGCCCACACCAGTTTCACGGCTTGTCCTGCCGAAATTAATTTCAGCGCTGTGTTTGAATGAACACTCTCGGACGCTCTCGTAATGTCTTTGACGTCGTCTATCATTGCTTACTCCCTACCACCGCAAGGGCCCGCACCTAGTTTTATTATTGGACATTCTACAGAGTGAACCACCGCAGAATCCAAGTCTTGTGTTTATATAGCCATCGGAGGAAGGTTCACAGAGAAAAAAGTCACTGATTTGAGCATACCTGAGGCTTTGGCATAGTGAAAGTATTAAATTACCGCCGGTCTTCTAGTCTTTACAAGAGGTTGTCACAGAGCGTGCACACACACAATTTGAGTCCATTAGGGCATTCACCACTAGTTTTTGACTGAACTCGGTGTTGGCGGGCCACGCCAATGAAGCGGCGTGGGCTTTGATGGGCGTGAGCAGATCGGCTTGTCCCACCAAAAGCTCATGCCAACGCCCAAAAGCCAATTTGCACGCGGGCACGCTGTTTTTGCATGCCCAAAAATTCAGCCTCTAAACCACAGAAGTAGTGACAACAGCGATACCAGTCGCTTAATGTTCACAGGAGGTATTAATGGAGGTGATCCAGAGATGGTCACATACAATTTGGGGGCCCGGTAGCCTTTTATACTAGTGAAATCTTGAAATTGACTTTGGTGGGCCAAGGCGACAAATTGGCGTGGGCTTTGATGCCATCAGGACAAAATGGCTTGCGCACTTCGGAGTTTGAATTGAGTTTTAAAACCACGCCATGTGTCTTGAAACCAAATCAAAGCACATTCACCAGGATACAACATGATGATATTTAGCTTTGGGCTACCTGGAATGGAACCTGAATGAATATTCAAATTTTGTTCAGAATGGGGCCGCATGGTGCCAATTATAGCCGATGCGACGGAATTTTTCACCGTAGCACGCCCAATTCTTGTGCTGTCGTTTTCCCCGGGTATAGGCATTTTTTTAAGTATCTATGCTTCAGATACCATAAGACAAGCCAGAGATTCAGTAAGTTTTGAGCAGCTTGGTTGTCAACTCCGAAACAAATGTGCGCATTACCATAGAAATAGTGCTCCAAGCCCGTGCATCTTGAAGTGGTGAAATGCTATGAACTTTTAAAGGGTGCCCCAATAGGTAGAACATTGGCTACACGCTTTCATTTTATTTTCTCGACGAAATTGATCTTGGCGGGCCATGCCGACAAATCGGCGTGGGCTTTGATGGGCGTGAGCAAATCGGCTTGTGCCACCAAACGCCCACGCCCACGCCAAAAAAGCCAATCGACGCTGGGCCACGCCATTTTTGCACGCCGAAAAGTTAAGTCTCATGGCCCCCCTATCCGAAGAATAAAATACACAGGCGGCCCTCACTAGACTCGGAGACATAGAGCGCGCCGTCGATCTCGCACCGCCTAACGCCTGTTCTGATCCGACTCTATTCTTTCCATATCCCCGCTTTGGAGATGGACGTGTCACTCACCCCATCTTCCTTATTTCTCGCCCGTCTTCATTTGTTCAGACGTTGTTGACCTGGAAATCATGACCAATCTGCCGCAATTCGTTATTCGGACATCTTCAGCCCCTACTCCGAGATGATAAATAAACATATAATTATCAACGACATCCTATGCGTCTAACGGAGCGATAGAGTCATCCTTGGTTACCTTTTTACTGGACAAAATCGAAAGACCGATTCGAATGGCGGCGACAAGGCTTATATCGATACCCGCTGCATGGGGCCTGCATACGTCCAGAAGCTCCACCGCCGACTGTGCGAACTTGGAATCAAGAATCAAGGCGTCCCAGGAGCTGGCGTCAGTCATCTCTAAACCGACACGAAGTTGGCAGATCTAGTCGCAAAGAGGCTTGTGCGGGACAAGTGGAACGCCCTTCCACGCCGCCTTTTGACACTGCGCGAGGAATGAAATATTGGCTCTGATGTGCAACCAGCAAATGCAAGCAATGTACGTACCTCGCGAGTACAGTATCTGATGACGCCACACCCGGCGCAGACCGCAGACCGGGACATTAGCGAGTTGGTGCAGCCAAGGTGCATGTATCGGTTCCTATTACGTGCCTCCCATATCCCCGCAAAGGCGCTCAAGTACATTTCTTCGTACTGAGTCAAAGGTATAACCCTCAATAACTATATCCCCGGTGCTGAGATGTTGTTCCAGAGTGGTTCTGGGAATCGCAAGACGACGGGACTGCGTGAACCACATACGTGTCTCCTCCATCACGATCGCGTTCAGGGGCTCCCAGATTGGTGACATACGGGCCGCAATTGAGTTCATCCGCTTGAGCAGCGGCGTGATGATGTGGGTAAAGCCCCGGCCGTCGACGAGGGAAACTCGGGTGAAGAACATTGTGATTGCATTCACATCCATCACCCAAACATCGCTTCTAGGTGCGACACCGCCCGGGAATGTGTCAACAGCATGGTCCAGGTGCTCAGTGGCAAGGAGGAAAACACTCGGTGTTCGGAACAATTCCACGGCAAAAGGCTCCCAGAAGCGTGTCAGGGAGGTGATGAGGCTGAAGATCGCCTGCCCGTGCCCGGGCTCAGCAGCCCAGAGTAAGACCGTGGTGAGAATCTCCGAGGCGTTTTTTCCGTGTGGTAGGATATCACCCAAACTACTTGGCCAAGGCTAGAAATCCGGATGCACACCCTCCTTTGGCTTCCGGAATTTTCTTGGCGTCATGGCATAAAGAACCGCGGAGATATTCCCGCACAGGGTAATTAGTGTTAGGTCAAGAGACTTTGTTGGGGTGGCTTCAGCTCTGCTGTTCTGGTGGATGTTCAGCAGGGAGGATCGCTCCAGATTGCACTGGCAGGCCATGAGTCGCTGTCGACGCGCAAGATGCTCGTCCTCCGACGCCGCACCACAAATGAAGTCCATGGCCCGACGGAGAAAATAAGGTTGCTGAAAATCGCTTTGTCCACCAGCATTGGAGATCGAGGCTATGGCGCAGAAGATACCCAGGATACAGGATGAATCACGATACAGAGGATCTCGGAGACTGGAATGCAGGGATGCTGTCTTGCGGACATCTTAGGGGCAGAAATGATCATCAAGCAGTGTAAGATTCAAGTTTCCGGAGCACTCAACGTGCTCGAAAGGTTTTTGAAGCAAAGACTCAGAGAAGAAAAAGAGAGCTTAATCGAGGCCACGTCACCAACACGTGGGATCAAGGATCCTTGGGCAGCACGCTAGGGTAGTTGACCCGAAGGCTATAAAAAATTACTGTAGAGGATGAAATGGGGATTGCAACAAGGACACCGGAAATTGCCGTGCGAAGTTCAAGCTCCGATTAATTGATGGCATCTTGTGCCTTTTTCGCCTCATGTACTCCATCTCGGTCAAGACTTGACACAGCAGATTCTTAATTTCTTTTGCAAGCCAAGAAAGATTGTGTAGTGCCCAAGTTCGCGTTCGCATAAGTCCTCGTAGATGAATCGGCACATCATCCACTCCTTTCTGTATGATATGCTGAAGAAGAGTAAATGGAAGGCGGAGGTTCGAATCCTTCCGAGGGCATGTGTGGTTTTTGTTTGCTTCTTTTGATTTTTTCAATCGTTTGGAGCGCTGCATGCATTCAACGCTGAATTTCAGGTGGAAGGCACAAGGAGTGTGAGTAATGCGTGCGGGATGCATCAAATGCAGAGGGTTCTGTGTGTCAGAATGAATGAGACGGCATCTAAGAGCAAATATAAGGTGAATAGCCCTTGTAGATGAATCGGTACATCATCCATTCCTTGTAACTAAATTTTCCAGGCGTAATTGGAAGGTGGAGGTTCGAATCCTCCCTGGGGTATAAATAGGTCACGAGATTTTTTTTTTTTGCTGTCCTGGGAAGATTCGAGGTAGATGCCGGGCCAGTCGTAAGGCATTGAAATAACAAATTATTTTTCGAGGAGGAGGCTATTGAAGGCGTAGAAATGAAAATGCCAATGGTACTTAAGATTTGAAACACGAGATCTTCAGCCATATCTATGCTTACAATAAAGGACAGCAGCTTCGTGGATGAACTGGCACATCACCCATCAGCTGTGTTGTGGTATATACACCCGTGTCAATGGAAGGCGAGGTTCGAATCCTCATGAGGGTGTACGTTGGCAGTGGTCTTTTTCTTCTTCACTGGTCAAGCTGCGACGCAGTTCAAGACGTCCGGCCGTCAGACATTTTTTTCTTCCTCTTCCGTTTTGGAATTCAAGCACAAGTAAGGAAAATATCCCTCGTAAATTAATATTCATTCCCAATCCGAATTTTTGTACGCCGTGCAAAAGGGAGATAGAGTTTTAGCCTGTCCCAGTGGTATTGCTGTGGTACCAGTGCGCAGTGATTTAAGGGAGTGTTTTATTTACATAAATTTGAGTGCCGTCTTCGGTGCGAGAAATCTCTGGCGGACCCATCCCGTGTCCGACTCCGCCGAGAGCGACGTCGTTCGCGCGTGAGACTTGTCGGAGGAAAGCGGGTGAGTCAGAGAACAGGCCGACTTGCGCCGACAGCTGCCGAGATGCACCGCCACGCCTCTTCAGGCTGCTCTGCATCGACCTGTGCCACACTACATCGTCTTATGCGACGATAATGCTGACCCTGGCGCCTAGTCAGAGGTGCCCCTCGCACTCGGGCGGGCCGCTCAGCAGGTTAAAGAGACACCAGCGCTGCGCCTATTCTTGCCTTTATCAACGTGGAGCGCCCAGCGGCAACCCAGCGGTGTCCTATTCGTCAAAAATGACCAAAGTTATATAGTGTATTAGGTGCCTGAGACCGATACCATTAGATGCGGCTGCTTAAAGCGATAAGAACGCACCTAGTTTCAAGTTGATTGGCCCAGGATTGAGCGAGATACGGGCAGGAGAAGAGGCGGGATCAAATTTGCTCTTATTTGTCAAAATTTGGCAACTGCCATCCTTTCTGCAAACTGCTGTAAATGAAAAGGTATAAAAAAACGGCAACTTTTCACGACACCTTCAGCAATGAAGAAAATATTTACTATCGTTGAGGGACAAATGGCCTGCTGAAAGGTGTCCTTTCAGCAGGCCTTTCAACAAAGGAAGAAAGGCTGTAAACAAAGGAAAAAGGCTGGATTTTCTTTGAAATACAGCCTTTCTTCCTTCGTTGAAAGACCTGCTGAAAAGACACCTTTCAGCAGGTCTTTTGTCCATTAGTGATAGTAAATATTTTCCTAGTTGCCGAAAGCATCACCAGAAGCTGCTGTTTTTTTATACCTTTTCATTCAAAATAAAAGTAAATCTTTTTATATATTTGAAAAGGCTTATAAAAATGTAAAAATTTCCCCCACCATTCTATGTAGGTCAAAAGAACTCTGTCCTGGGTGTGTGGGCTGATCTGTGCATATCCCTTAGCTACCCCAGTTCACCTTCCACTATTCTCATTCCACTAGCTCCCCACGTTAATCAACACCCCACCTTTCGTGGTTCCCTTCCTGCGACCTACGTTCCACTTCTCACCGCACACCACCCATACTTGCCACTTCTCAGATTATCCATCCCACGGTGCCCAAGGTCCTAGCGCAGTCGTTATACCGCGCACCACGTCACCATGCATTCGCCCTTTGTACTATCTTCCCTTCTCTCCCATAAATCATCGTTGATACTACATCCCTCCGCCCCTCCATATATCCCGCATGCGCCTCCCTGTGGCTCATCCTCTTCGGCGCGGGTTTGATATGTATAATACATTTCGTACAGGGAGGCTGCTGTGCGGCCGCCTGAGCAAGAATGTAGGGCTTGTATTATACATTAAATACCGGTGCCGCTGGCCCGAAATTTTTTGCCGTATTCAATGTATAATGGGTGACTTCCCGTAAGCTTTTTTTATTCTGGGGGATTATTTTCGCACTTTCCGCTGTGCCGAGCAACCTGTCAGGACCCCATCAGCCCAAAGTGGCAAAATATATTCTACCATCACTCGAATATCCTTAAATCTAGACGAGGGGTCCTACCCTCCCTAACAGATTATTTGAGATTTGGGACAGAGATGATTGATGGTCACTCCTGCCACAAACTCTCCGCCACACCAATCAACGCCTAACCGCGTCAAATGCATACACCTGAGTCAGTATATCAAGCTTGACAACACGGGCAACCGTCCTCCGCCCTCATTCGCCCCTTTCTGGCCTTTAACAGACCTCAAAGGTATATTTTTACATTGGATTCCTGCGAGAAGTCCGCAGGTAGAGCACCTTGCCTCTCGAACAGCTCTCTGTGCACATTGTAAGAGCAAAACTCCTCGCATTCGACTGCCTACTGAAGCAAGGGATTTTCCTCAATCTGGTCAACTAAATATATTATTTTGCTTGCGGGAAACATACCCAGTGTGAATAAACACGATTATACTGGCCATCAGTCCCATCACTGGCACCCCGAGAAATGGCGCGAGATTATTTAAATATTACGGGAAGTCACCCAATACAGGTATTTAATACTCTATTTAATGTATTTAACTGTATTTAATGTCATCTACCAGCTGTCTGCATCCCATGAGGCATCCGCCTCCGTCCATTTCGCACCCGATGTAGTCTTCTTGGCAGTTGAAGCAAATGGCTCCTCAGGTGCTGGCTTCCCCTTATCAGGGGCAAAGCGTAGAGCGAGTTTTGGCGCATTTAGATCAATGTATGCTTCAACTTCCAAAGTCAGCATGTTGGCCTGTCGGATGACGAGCGGAGGGGGGACGGAGTCGGTTTCATCTTCACCCTCCTCCATATCCTTAGTCCACTCATATTGTGCCCGTCTGAGGTTTGTCCTTTTATACCTACTTTATTGCCTTTGCTTACTTGTGTTGTAATATTATTCTAGGCTCAATCCAGCCTCTCTGGGCAGACCATGATTTTGGTTTTTGTGTTTTATTTATTTATTTTTACTCATGATCGCGACGGCGCGCGGCAAAAAAACCACGGTGCGCGTCTGCTCTTTATTGACAAGTTGCAGAAGGATTGTGCTGTGGGACCCCGCTCGACTGGGGGACAGGCTATGGGACTGCCTTCTTTTCCCTTTTTTTTTTTTTTCTCCGTCCCGCATTTTTTTATCCTCACTCAATCGTCAGTATGCATACCTGATATTTCAGAGATGCGTGGGTGATATTCTATTTATCACGCTCGGGGGTCCGACGGCCCTCCACTGCTTGAAATCCGAACACATCCATCTGGGATCCAGTGGAGGGAAAGTATCGTTCTGTGGCGTGCAGTGCTTACCTGCTCCTTGCGACCGGCAATGTTGATAAGTTTTCCGAGACCAAACAAGTAGTCCTTAGCATTGGTTCAGCACTGGATAAAAATCCCACGCAGGTAAGGAAAAATGATCAGTCTTAAGGTTTTGGAAACAGCTGCAATTTGCGCAGGAGAACCCCGTTCGACTAGGGGACAGGCCATGACCGAGGACGAGAATTTGATTTGTTTTCCGTGCGATTTTTTACACCTTGCATGCTGGTGGATTTTTTCAATCTCGGCTCGCAGATGGAAGTTCAGAGATCGTAAGCAAGGGGTCTCTAAGTCAAAAGTTCCGGACGTGACTACCAAAAATCTCGTTGCCAGGACCCCGGATACCAGAACCACCACCCGGCTAAGGCTCGGTCCGATGATCCGACTCCATATGGGGCACTGGCACAAGCAGGACAAACGATGCAGCGGGCCAGGCAGCTACAAGAAGTCGTAGGTACAGTTATGTGTCTACTCTAACCTGAATGAATATGTTTAATGGATTTTTTGAAGTCTGAAACGGTCCATGAACTTCATAATGCCGTTAAGGATGGAAGGTTGGAGGGCGAGTGGGCAGAACAGATGACTCCAACAAATTCTGAAGATAGAGAAGTCTAAGTTGGCAATGACCCTTCAAAAATGACCCATTTCAGATTCTCAGGGCACTCTGAGGTATGCCGATGAGCTCGCGTCGTGCGTTGTGGATGCTTGTTGACAATCCGGATCAATTCCGGCACTGATTAACGCCGTTTGTTTTTTAATCCTTACCATTAGAAACATGCGGGTTATGGCTATTTTTGGTTGGTAGGAATAATTTAAGACTATGATTTAAGATTCATAAGGCCCTTCGGGCATCCCCTGGTACCTCCCAGTACGACCTGGACGCACTTAACCGACTGCTGGATGCCATATATATTACAATTCAGATAAATGCCATGCTAAAGAATTAAAAGCCACTAGGGAGACTTAGAGTATAAATAACTACCATGTTAACTTGAAAAGATTAAAAGTAAATCGCAGTTAAACTCGTAATCATCACTGTGTCAATCTTCGTTATCCCGGTAATCCTTCCTCCCATGTTCACAGAAACGATTAAGGCATCTGGACCCTGTACGCTACAGAAGCCGTTCCTTCCCCATTCGGGCTAAGGTAGGATCGATTTGTTCGTCGTTGTGTCCCTCCACACCACCCCACTTCCAGTGCCCCACGCCTCGAAGACCATGGGTTGTTCGCCACCTCGCCGGGCAGTAGATGCCGCAAGCCACTGTCCATTCCGTGGTGTCATGTTGATGCGTTACTGACCCTGCGAAAGGGGTGC